AATGGACATCTCACCATAAATTATCATTTCAAGGACAAGAACAATGGCATTTAAACTATGAAAGAACCAAGATATGGTTTCTCGTGAACATGGATAATTCCACAAGCCAAAAAGACAGACACACAGACAGACATTACTGGTTTAGTTAGAAACTCCACATACAATATATACAAACATGGTGCCATAAAAATGGCTTACACATGGCTAGACTTGCCATGTGTAAGACATCCCTTCAAAACCTAACAATTTAAAGTAAAATTTAAATAAAAAAAAAAACATAGATCAACATTTCTAAATTGTGCCCTTACAAAATGCTTCACACATCTGCGTAATGTTGTTTAATGTGCCCCAAATCATACTTACTGGTGCTACCAGAGAGGCTGTCAAGAAACATTTAAGATTCAAACTAGTAGCACTGGCAATAGCACGAATGTCAGATATCAAATTTGTTAGCTAAAATCCAGCAAAACAGCAACTCAATAGCTCTGTCAGATACACTACATGGCTAAAAGTATGTGGACACAGGACACCTGACACTTATCTTTGTACGCTGCAGCACTAATATTAACTTTCACTGGAACCAAGACGCCCAGCTCAAATCCAGATTATTATGCCTCCAACACCAAACACCACTTCTGGCATTATGCATTCTGATAGGTAGCGGTGTACTGGCCTCTCCCAAACCGAGATTCATCCAATAGACTGTCAGATAGCAAAGCATGATTCATCACTCCTCAGTCCAGCGGTGGTGTGCTTTATAGCACTGCAGTCAACGCCTGGCATTGGCATAGTGAAGACATTTTGTGAAGGTCCTGATACACAGTTTTTGTGTTGTTGTTGCCTCCAGAGACAGTTTGGACGCTCCATCAATTTAGCTTGACAGTTTTTACTTTTAGTGTCCAACTCATGCATCAGTAACTGTCTCTCCTAGCAAGACCATTCATTATTAGTGTTTCTGTTTTCAGATTTTCTGCATATTGAGTAGACTCAAAAAAACTATGCAGGTGCTCAATCAAAAATATAACTTATGGCACTGATGGGGTTTTAAAGCCTTAGACAGACTGAACAAACATCAGACCCATTTAATTACACACTACATCACATCAATTACAGATGCTTTGTCTTTCACACATCACATGGCAGGCATGACATCCAACTGAGACTAAAAATAAAAGAACAGGTACAGGAACAGTGCACAAAATTTCAGAAACATCACATAAAATACTAATGGGGCTATTTATGTAGTACATCTACCATAAAGATGTCCTTTGTATGTTTCAAATTATCGACTGTGGCCATTAGCTGCCATCAGTGGAAAGGGAACACCCTAAGACCACTGCTGAACAGATATTATATGGGTGGTGGATCATTCTCAGCACAGCAGTGACACCAACATGGCTTTGGCATGGTAGTGCGTGTTGCACTGGTACGAGTGTACCAGTCACAGCTGGGTTGTTGGGGTTTTTACGCTTGTACACAGCGAACATCTCACTGAACACTCTCTCTACCAGTTCAGATGACATTAACACTAACAAGCTTTTGGGAAACTGGGCCTAGTTTGTACATCTGGTGAGTGTATAGTTAGACCCAACCCGGTCCTCGGGGCCCCACTGGTGCTCCAAATGTGAACTGTCTGGGGGTCCCTGAAGACCTGGCTGGGAAACACTGCCCTAGCCCTTCATCAGTGGTCAGTTTCTGACCACAAAAATGCTCTTGGCTCAGCAAGATAAACTGTGCATCAACAGATGCTACAATCAGTAACTATGAACCTACAGAGTGCACTTACATGCTGGGTGTTTCACATTCTCAACTATGATTAGGAGAAATTCATGTAGTGTTTCAGCTATTTGGTACACCCCCTTGAAGCCTTATATATCCAATTATACTGATGATCCCCAGCCATTTTTTTAACAGTACAATGCAAAACATTAGAAAGCGCATAGTGAGAATCTGTATTCTGGGGTCTCCTGCGCAGTACAAATTAGAACATCTCATCAGCACTCAGTAGTAATGACATTAAAATCTCTGGAACAAAACTATAAAACGCTGAAGCCAAAACAAACCAATTCAGCTCTCACACAGCCCAAAGCAGTGGTTGCTGCAGAACTGCATGAACACCCAACACAATACATATGACCTTTTTCTGTTTGTCATCCTCAGGATAAAAGTTCCTGCTGTTTTAATATTTGAGCCATACAGAATGGTTTCACTGCCTTGAAAGCTAAAACTAAGCCCCATATTATGTTGGAATATCCTATAATCACAAATTCACTGGATGAAATATGGCTGTAGTTTGAAAATTATGCTTTGAACAAACTTGAAACAAACTGCTTTTAGTCAGTATTCACAATTAGCATCCAAAATAACCTGAACTGCCTTAGCAAACTAGGGTAAAGTCCAATCAGAGGATTCTTCAAACCTGGCTTGGCCTAGATCTGAACTGGACGCATCATCAATTTTATCATATATAGCACCAATCGAACAAAGGTAGCACAGCACAAGGGTTTTCTGTATCAGAATGGACCACCTCAGAAGAAACAATACTCTACACTGCTCCAGTGACATCAGTTTTGTTTCAACGGCTCATTAAGTCACACATAGTTTATCATCTTGACAGGAGCAATGGCTTTACTGAGTTCTCAAATCATGCTATTCCAGGCAATCAGACTTTAGCTAAAAGTCAGCTAGGAGACTAAACTGTACCAGTCACGGTTTTTAACTGTGATCAATTTTACTCAAGCTTCACAGTGTACTGGTGAATTCACTTCAAAGGATAATTCAGGCCTACATTGAACCACTTTGCAAACCATTAAACACTGACAGTGTTGCACCATCAATGTCAATGCAGAAACCAGGTAAAGCAGGTTGGTTACCCCAAACTGCCCCTCCATGCTGGCTGTCCAAGAACTGTAGCAGAGAAACACAAACCTCTCTTACAAAAAAAGGAGTATTGCCAAAGGAAATACGGCATGTGTGTGTGTGTGTGTGTGTGTGTGTGTGTCTATGTGCACAGGAGTGACTGACCCAAATGGGGGAGGGGACTCCACTGACAAAGGCTTGCCATATGAAAGACATGCAGGTCAATGGCTTCTGTAGTATGATACTCACAGCTGTCAGATATGAGACAGCAGGTCCTAGTAATTACACCTATTATGTCACCCCTGTCATCATTCACGAACAGACCAGATTTATGTATATACAGAATACGTCATTTTGATATTGCAAAGTATGTCATATTCTGCACTCCTAGGTCACTCTTCTGAAAACAAATCTATTTGGCATTATGTTCTAAATCATTCTGTACCATGCAATGACTACAGTTTAAATTCATGGGATATGGTGAGGTCACCATAATGCAGTGAAGAACTCTCAATTCACTTATATGGAGCCAGTGGGATATAAAGAAATCTCAGGATCCTGCAGTTCTGGCTCTCTTCCTCGTATCTGCCCACGTTGCGCCTTTATAATATGACTACCGATTATGCTTGCTGTCTGACTGCTGGTCAGCAAATACAGGAGTACCCCAGAAGTACCAACAGTACAAACAATAACAAATGCTGACCACCTCTACTTCGAATCCAGCATGAGTGAACAGTCAAGTTACAATGTAGGCTTCTTAAGCTGCCAAAGTGTAAAGATTAAGGCAGAATGTAGACAGAGTCCGTCAATATGGAGAGCTAGAAAAGGACAGAGAACACAGCCCTATATGACAGATAATAGGTATATATATTCGCTGGCCCTATTTTCTCCTTGACTTCGAATGCTGCAACGTAATGAATACCCAAACGGCAATTTCAGTATTTGAATAGTGGCACCTTGAACAGAGTATGCAATAATGTGGGCACACCCTCCCTAATTTAAGGACTACATAAAAGCTGAGGTGGCTAGATCTATAAAATTCACACACAGATGTGTGAATAAAATAATCTAGAGAATGCAATATTCATATGATATGTAAATAACAGGATCTGTGAAGTGGCTACAATACTCTAAATGCGTATCAAAATAGGTCTTACAGATGATGGCCACCCCAATCCCATGGGCTTTTGCTCCTCTTATTATCTGAAGCTCACGTCACTCTCCATTGAAAAACGTTTCACATATACACGAATCAGGCCTGGCAGTGCAGCTTCCTCTGTATGCTTGCTTTAACTACTGTGTGGCGAGTAAAAACTGAGACATCAAATTGTCCTCTTTGACAGGCTAGAAACTCTCAGTAAAACATTTTCCATTAAGTGATAATACACTGCATGCAGGCACGAGCCTGCAAGACATTTACAAGGGTAATGGACGCTTATAATTTTTAAAAAAGCACGTCCATCTATCAGAAATCATCTATTCCATTTCAGTGTTGCTATGCCTCATTTGACAAAACCGTTTTTTCCCCATCAATTTAGCTTGACAAAATTACTGCGAATACCAAATGAGTCTCGACTAAGCTATAGAGCAGTAACATAGTTTTATTTGGTGGACGTAAGCAGCCTGTGGGCCTCAGAGAGTGATAGTGAGGTAGAGTCCAGAAAGCTTCAGACACCACACCTGCACACTGTGGCATTTCTGAACAGCTAGAGGAGAGAAAGGAAAGTCCGGTGTTTTCTCTCAATAGCCTATCTAACCTCATTCCGCTCTCCAACAATTGCAAAGTAGATCAAGATACGTTTAACGACATAAAAATCTATATTTGTGGACTAATATCCAATTTCACATTGATTCAAATAATCTACTATATGTACCAGATGGGCATTTTAAGCCATTATTGTTAGTACTGTTAAACTGGAGGGCGACGTTTACCATCTCTCATTAAAATTAAATACCAAAATTTCAAAAGAACCCCGTATACTGAGAGTTAATCGATGAACATGGCTGTCACTGAAGCTAAGGCGGGGGAAAACTGGAAGCCCACATATTCGCACCAACATACAAGCTAACCGAGCGGCCAAGCAGCCTTGCCTGCAAAAAAGCCAGAAACGTTAGGAAAATCATTTCATTCAGATACTCACTTTCCAATCACCTCGCACAGCTCGTACACATCTTCAAAGAGCACGTCGTCGTCAGCCATGGTCCGACGAGTATTAAGTCTAGTCTGGAAAATCCGTCCAAAGCTGTGATTTGTGATTCAAAAAATATCAGCGGTCACAGCTCTGCGATGAGATGCGCAGTTCAGACGTGGTTTCGAAAATGCTGACGTCGTATCTAAGCAAACAAGAGAAGATATTTTCCCCTTCCGAATTATTCCCACAAAATGCCAATAACAGAGAACGGCTAGGAGGCTAGCTAGCTAGCCAGCCTGGTTCTTGCAATGTATGTTTGGTCCGCTTTGACACTCCTCCGCCCCACCTTCTCCCTCCTTGTCTAGCAACCCGGCTCCTTAATCCCCTGATTCGTGTCGACGACCGCCGTGCCGTGGGATGCCTATTAAAACCGGGTTATAATGTTTTCGAAGACGACACTGTCGTTCGAGTCACAGAAAACCAAAACCAATGGTCCTGGATTTGGTCGCAACATCCGTAGCACCGCTGCCGAAGCAGCTAGATGCTAAGCTTTGCCGAAAATGGTTGGCAGTCTATGCTAGCCAGCAGGATTTATTTGACTGTACGGGACACAGCGCGGTATTGCGCTAAGCACGCCCAGTGTAGCAAAGCTTTCTCGAATATCCCGTTAGCTAGCAAAAAACAGGTTAAAGCCACAGCCGCATACATTCCTCTCCGAAGACACACATGGTTGCCCTCTGAAAATTGCAAGTACACACCCTGGCTTCAATGGATGCGGCTTACACCGCGAAAAAATATTCCGAATTCTCTACGGCTCTCGGTTTTCTCCGTTGCCTGAGTGCCTCTCTCCTGCTCTGATGCTACTCCAGTTCAGACTCCACAGGCTCCTCCCACTGACAGTTAAGAAACTGGGAGGCGAAGAGCCAAAATGGCTACGCTGACGTGAGCGAGTTCCCGGATGAATCCTGTGAAAGGCATTGCAAGTTTGAGCCAAAATGTCGAGAGAAGGGCGCGCCGTCTCATTATGGGAGAAAGAGTTTCCTAATCCCCCAACGCCTGAAAATCCATCCTCACAAAACACCAGTGATGGAAAGCTCGGTTCAGTGTACTGAACCGATTCCTTCGAACTGTCTGCTTCAATGACTCGAACGCGCGATTCATTAATTCACAAATTAAAAAGTTTGATACCCGCTACTTCTGTTCACTAATGTCAATGGAGTCATATCACATTTGGAAGTCTCTTAGCGCAGGGCTGGTACGGAGCGATAACAGAACCCAGCTGTCTACTGAGATGACATTTAACTAAATTGTAATATATCGTTACTAGTGCGTTTCAATGTAGTGTTTATGTTGTGATTCCTATATTTAATTGTAAAAAAAATAATAATTTTCGAAACGTAAAGTATTCTTAAGCCTATTACTGTTACAGAGAAGCTAGAAAGCGTTTCAATTCAGTCGGAACTCGTGTACCGGTTCGATCGAACTCTTGAAAGGAATCGGTTCGAATGAACGATTCGTTCACTAGTCGGACGGTGCTACAAAGCACCAATCCCTGGTAAGCACATCCAGAGCGCTCCGCATATGCTGGCTGCCCGTCGCCTTACGTCAGCGCCCGCACGATTTTCTGTACATCGCTTTATCCTCTACTTGTAATACCTATTATCTTAAAGACTGCAGGATGTGTGCTGAAATCAGCTCTTCGGTCCAGAAACGACACTTAAACATCATAACCAATCGCGAATGGTTTAGTACTCCTGACGCTGATGAATAGGCTGTCAAAGGCCACACGTAACGACTGATGAACAGGAAGGCTAATCCACAATCGTTAATAAATCAAGAGCCCTGACAAGCTCGTTAGATTCCACTTTTCTAATGAAACTCACGTTGATGAACGACCACGGAATTAGTCTGATCAGAATCCTTGCCCAAATCACCAAAGGTCATTGGTTGATTACGCTACCATGCTAGAACTTTCCTCATTACCTTTTCCCTCACTAACGTGTCTTTATTTAGCACTGTAGGATGTGGGTGCATGCTGAACATCTAGTTATATCCTAACTTTTGTGTATCTAAGCAGAGACTGAAGTGTTACATTTTCAGACTACTGAGGGCTGTGTGCCTAACCTGAGGAAAGTAGCCAGGCCATGTTCTGAAATTTACATACACCAGCATTTGAAAGCTTTTGTTTAATCGAGCTATTTTCATGTTCACAGAATTTGCAAGGTCTGTGTAATTCAGTAAATGGCAATGGAGTCAGGTGAAGAAGTAAATACACCCCATGAAATGTTTATCTTTTTTTGACATATGTGGACTTATCAGTATTTGATCTTCAGTTACAAAGTATTTATAAAAATGTATAAATATGTAACCAAAATGGAAATTTGACTTTGCAATCATTTATTTTGAAAAAAAAACTGAGATGTCATTTTTGTCTGTTGAAAAAGTAAGTACACCCCTGGCTTCAGTAACTGATACTGCCCCTTCTGGAAGAAAGAACTTGATGTAGGCCTTTCCTACAACTATCTACCAGTTTATTACATCTACTGGAAGAAACTGTTGCCCGTTCCTCCATGCAAATTACTTTCTGCTGTGCAATGTTCCAGGGGTTTCTTGCATGTACAGCCCATTTCCGATTGCAATCCCATAGCACTTCAAGGTGATTCAGGTCTAGGCTTTAACTAGGCCATTTCATAACCCTCCATTTCTTCCTTCTGAGCCATTCCTTGGTAGATTTACTTGTATGTTTGGGAACATTATCGTGTTGGACGGTCCACTTCTTCAGCTTAAACTTTTTTACAGTCTCACATTCTCCTCAAGCACATGTATGAAAGAGAATTCATGGTCAATTCTATGATTGTAAGTTGTCCCTGATCCAGCAAAGAAGCCCCAAACCATAATCTTTCTCCCACCATGCTTTTAGATTTAGTATGAGGTTTATCTGATGAAATACTATCTTTGGTTTTCACCAAACATGGCTTCGGTACTGGGGCCAAACAACTCTGTCTTTGACTGGTATGTCCATAGCACATTGTTCTAAAAGTCCTGATGCTTGCCTACACACTTAAAATGATTCAAGACTGCTGTAGTAAAGAAAATGGTTCTATATAGATCCATCAACACTCAAAGAGTCCTTTGCACGATTAAAGAATTCTTTGCATTACAAAAGCATTCTTCAGATTGATGGAGAATGTGCTGTAGATGGTTCTATATAGAACCTTTTTGAAAAGGATTCTATATAGCACCCAAAAGGTTCTTCTATTGTAATGTGCTTGACATCATAACAATAGAAGAACCCTCTTTGGTGCTATATAGGTTTCCTCCTCTCATGTAGGTCAAATTTGTGCAGTCTTGTTCTAATGGTAGATGCATGCGCTTTTACATCAACTGTAAGAGCTACCTGTAGATCCTGTGATGAAGCTTTGTGGTTCTTAGAGAGTTCTTTAAGCATCATACGGTCTGCTCTTGGGTTAAACTTGCTGGGGCCACCTGTCCTAGACAAGTTGGCAGTGGTGTTAGATCTTCTTCAAATGTCAATGATCTTCCAGACAGTGGTATGATTGATTTTAAGTATTTTGGATTTTTTTTAAACCCCTTCCCAGACTCATAGGCATCTACAACTTTCTTTTTGAAGGCCTCAGAGAGCTCTTTTGATCTAGGCATGATGATACCACACACTTCAATAACAAAGGGCAAACCAGACCAGATATCTGGGGTTTAAATAAGACAAGTTCCTCCAAGATATTCTCCAACAGTGTTTTAATCATTAGCACCTGATCAGGTGCACCTCATTTCAATTTAACATGTTTGAAGTATTGATATATGTGGGGGTGAACTTACTTTTTCCACATTACTGTTTATTATAGATTAGAAAGGATGACAAAAATGTTAATTCCAAGTGTTACTTTTAAATTATATCACCTTTATCTATCAACACTGTTTAAATGAAGACTTGATGTCTGTATCTCCAAGTATGTTAAAAAGTTTGAACTTTTCATGGGGTGTACTTACTTTTTCACGTCACTATATGTAAGATTCCAGCTGTGGGTCGTAGGCCTACATGAACAAATACTTTGAATGGAATTGATAGCCTTCCTTCAGACTTTATTATTTGCTATTCAAATCTACATCAGTTACACTGTGTTCACACAAAACTACTGAAATGCACAATCTCAATGATGCTAATTTAGAAGAGTGAGCACAGTTGTAAGTAAAGTCGTGTCCATCTCCCAGATTTGATATGTTTTCTAGCCTTGCTGTTGACGGAAGTGTCTGATTGTCTTTTGGGGCTATGCAGGACTAAAAGCAGCTTCATCTTCTGATCTTCTGAATTAGTTAATTTATTGTTCTTAACCAGACTTTAAATGGCGGATTCCACACATTTATTTTCTATATTTCTGCATAATTCAGTCATTGAGATGTAAACAAGGTCATTCAGAGTGGTTTCATGTGAAATGGTTTATTGTAGAGAAATTTACAGACTCAGAAATGGTGGCAATAGGAACCAGGGGTCATAATGTCTACAACAAAAATATGGGCTGTATTTACTATCCAAAACCACAATCGAATCTTCACGTGTCTTATAGGTTGTGTTGAAATGTAATGTCTGTAATGGCAAAATAGTGGTAAATCTTAAATAATAAAAAAATCGGAAAAATATGTTTTCTTTGGGGACTGTTTTGCCTCACAACATCTTGCTTGTACCTCTCTGCCATGAATAGTTTCCAAAAAATATGTTTTAGGACAAATCCAAACTCAAAACTATTATAAAACAACATTTTAGGCATCAGGTAGCTTATTTGTAACCATTTAATGTGATCATTTTCTGTGAGGGAGATTTTAGAGGAGAACATCTGGTAATTATCACCACAACTGTGAACAATTCTGACTTGGCAAGCTTCTTTAGAATAGTGCATTTCACATCAAGCCACTTTTAATGACTTTGTTTACATCTTAACCATTTAATTATGCAGAAATGTAGAAAAAATGGTGGAATTCACCTTCAAGCAGGGAGAAATGATTCGTTGCAGGTCATGTTTCTTCACAGGACTCAATGAATCCATGTTGCACA